AATCACTCATCACAGAGATCTGAGTGTAGTGGTAATCCTCCGTTGGTCCACTGTGTCCTCTCGTCTGCTCCCGCCCGCCCAGCCTCCGCCCTCACCCCCCCGGTACCCGTGAAGTGGTTGTGTGGTCTGCGGCGGCACGGCGGCGGCCTCAACGGAGTCATGCCATCGAGAAAACTCGGCGCCCAAACCGTTAAGTAGAGGCCCAGCACAGAGCAGTCGTCGACGCCGCCGGCGCGACGCTCGTCATCGGGCATGGGAGAGGGGGTCTACTCCGCACTTGTGAGCTCGAAGGTTCTGATAGCAGTTTGCCGCACCGCACAAGATCCATACACTAACTTTGAAAATGCGAACCAAACCAAAAAGGAGGCCGCCGCGCACAATGTTCTTTTCGCGCATTTCTTCCAAGCTCACTTCCAAGCTTATGCGACACGGTTGATGTAGCACTACTCGACCGGCCCCCTCAGGTGTCCAGAGCGGATGGTATACCCTGGTCCAGCAGGAAAGAGGAGGAGGACTAGTTTTGTTCTCCTTTTTTTTTTGGGGGGGGGGGAAGGGGGCCACTTTGTGGAACTGCTTTGAGATATCGATTCTCGCAATACTGCAGTCACATGATAGGCTATCTGTACGCGACGGCGGTGATGTGATGTAGATGCTACTTTGGGGCATATGATGCTGTTTGATAATAGGGAGAGCAGGACGCAACGGTGTGAGCGAGTGTGTTTGAGTGAGGGAGAGAGAGAGATACAGGCGGTAAGGGAGAGAGAGTTTAGAGAGGAGAGAGACATGTCGCAAGGCGTACCAGCATTGCATCAGATTTGAATACCTCGCCCAGTGCAGCGAGCAGCGGGCTATGTTGCCCCCCCCCCCTCGGACTCCGGGCGGAACGCCCCCCCCCCTCCCTTCCCTCTCTACCTCGCTCTCTCTCTCTCCAGCGCAAGTGTTACTGATCCACCCATTCCCGACTTAATCTACCTTAATCCGCCTAAAAGAGCCCTAAATGAGCTCAAAGTGCATTTGGCAATAATTTCCCTTGGTAAAGGCACTCAATGCTTACCACCTTTTTAGACATTTTTCCGGTGTCGTTGTAAATCTCTTCCCGTGAAGTTTACTCGTCCGTTGCAAAATAAGTTTTAGTGGGAGCATCATACATTAAATGTGCATGTTCCGCGGTTGACAGACTGGTGGTGCCCGTATTGTTCTCCAGACCACAACTCATCTGGCCCCGGCACTCACATGCCAAAACTGCAGCAGCTTGGCGGTTTGGAAGACAATATGGAGACCCCCCCCCCTCTGTCAGCAGTTTTTTGCTAGACCACACTATTCACTACTAACGCCCGCTTTTAACTTGCAAACTGACCTTAAAACTAAAGGCAGTCGCCCAGACACAGTTTCGTTACGAAATTGCCCAGTTCAGCCAGTGCCAGGCTCTCATGGCGCCTGATGGGTAGGCAACATCTCGCCTGCAGTGCACGGGTGCACTGCGGGGTGGCCTACCCCGAGTCGCGCAGGCGCCCGAGGCCAATAGGCACAGTCGAGTATAAAGTTGTGAGATTGTCCCGCGCCCGACCCGCGCCGCGCTCGAGAGGCGCAGGATGAGTTGCCTACCCGGCGGGCGCTGCCGGCACGCGCCAACACCGCGCGCGTCGTCGCCGTCGAGCGCCATACAGACAGCGCCACTAACCCCCCCCCCCACCTCCAATCGAAACCTTATTTACAGCACGACGCTGCGACGCGCTCGCCCACCACCACCGCACACCTATGACGAGTATGAGAAGAGCCGGCGGGACTGGGGTATGCGAGTATGAGAAATCGGTGGCAGGGACG